AAAAAGAAGGAAAAGTTATTGATATGATGGAAAATATTATTTTATTAAAGAATGTGTGGTTGAAAATGAGTAGAAGAGTGAGAATGAAAAAAATAATGTCGTCCAAATAGGGGCTTAATTGCATATAACGTTCATAGTCTTTATTAATTGCCGAACTTACATTCTCAATTTTTTTTTCATCGCATTAAGCCCTTGTTTGGCACCCATTCTCTTTCTCATTCTCATTCTCTTTTTTCATTTCAACCACACATTCTCCAAATAAAATAATATTATACATAAATCTAAAATTTTTCATCACGTTTCCACCACACATTCTCCCATCAATCACTATTTCAAAAATTTTCAACCCATTAAAATGGGTGTCTTACATTCTCAATTAGAAAATCTTGTTCCCGAAGAGTCGAGACAACCCTTGTGCAAAAATTCCATTAAGAAGTAAAAAAAAATTATTTGCTCCTAGTATTTTTGAATAAAAAAAAATAACATGTTTGACAATCATTATTTGATTATAAAAAGTAGGGAAATTTTTTGAAATGTATGACTGAAAATAAATATGTAAAAAAAACCTTTAAAAATAATAATTGTCAAATAGGGACATAATTGCTACTAAATATTTATCTCGTGTTTTAATGTACCAATATTATTGCATGAAAACCATATTAAAAGTAAGTTTTGCTAATTATTAAAAGATCAAGGATAAGAATTTGATTAAAAAAAGGTTCATAAATGTAACAATGAGTAAAAGTTAAGAACATTTAATACAATTAAAATGTTATAACACATTTTTGAGATCTTTGGAGTCCATTTTAACGAGGTTATGAAAAAAAAAATATTTTGAAATAGTAATTTTTTTGGAGATATGTGGTTAAAAAGTAAAGAATAATTTTGAATTTACGTGTAATATTATTTTATTAAAAATTATAATTGAAATGAAGAAAGAAAAAATGCAGTAAATTAACATTGTGGCCAAACAGGGGCTAAAAGTATCCACTTAGTTAGATCTCTCTCCCTCTCTCTCCCTCCTTTTTTTTTTTTTTTTCCTTATGCACTAATTAAATTATTTAGAGCCGTTTTGGTACAGATTCTCATTTTCTACAGTAAATCAATTCTCAATTTCAACTGCACATTNTCTCATTTTCAACTGCACATTCTTCAATAAAATAATATTTTCCATCACATCAATACTTTTTTCTTCTTTTTCAACCACACATTTCCCATCATATTACTATTCAAAAATCAATTCTTCCCCCAAAAATCCCTACCAAACACACTCTTAGTACCATTCATACTTCTACTCGTTTCTTGTGTATTGACTTCGAAATTGTCATCTCAACTCTTGTGGTTACATTTTCAACGAGAGAATACAACACAATATGAAAACAAAATTTTCATATTCAAGTCTCGTCCGGATAAATAGTACATGTGTCACATGCTTAATTAAAAAAAAAAAAAAATTCAACATGTGCTTGACTCTAACTTGTTAAAACTTTTGAATAATGCTATCTAACAATAGTTATGTTAGAACACTAGTTTAAGTGTCACAACTCATAAGTTCAATTAAATGAATCATACGACATTGCATTTAAATCAATTTTTCATTTAGTGTGTATTTGGTAGGGATTTTTTAAGGGAAGAATTGATTTTGAATAGTGATATGATGGGAAATGTGCGGTTGAAAAAGAAGATAAGATTATTGATGTGATAGAAAATATTATTTTATTGAAGAATGCGTGGTTGAAAATGAGAATTGATTTACTGTTGAATATAAGAATTGGTACCAAACATAGTCTTAATGTTATATATATAGTGATATGATGGGAAATGTGCGGTTGAAAAAGAAGATAAGATTATTGATGTGATAGAAAATATTATTTTATTGAAGAATGTGTGGTTGAAAATGAGAATTGATTTACTGTTGAATATAAGAATTGGTACCAAACATAGTCTTAATGTTATATAATTGATAGTGTCACACAAACCGATGATTAATACCAGTGGTGATGACTTACATTACTCTAAACTTTTAGACTTAGTAGTTCGATTTTATTGTTACAACAAAATATTAATCCATGCTTGTTGACATTATGAACAAATTTCATCCATGAACACCACTCAAACTTGTGATAATCTAAAACCAAATTAGAATAACAGATCACATTATCATTTCAAAGATAAATAATTAACTCATTTCCTAAGTTTAAACAATATTTCCATATTTTCAAAAATAAAATTGCAACTTTGGTTCGTGCCAAATTTACTATGACAAGGAATGTACAACTTGAAAGGAGAGATCGATGATCGAATCTTTTGTGTGAAACGTGCCCAGCCAACATCCAGACTTTGTTTCAGCTCTTCTGGCAGAAAGCTATGGCAGTCGCACTGAATTTGAAGCGGCATTCAATCAGAGAAATGCTATAAAAGCTAAAGCACCTCTTTCTGGGGCTTCATGAAGAAATTTCTTTGCCCTTGATCCGTGTTGACAGCCAAATCTAGGTAATGCAGTTCCAGTCGAGTATGCATCTATGCAGCTCCTGGCAATGCTTTCCTGGTAATATTGATGTAGAGAAGACAACATTCATATGTCCAAATCATCATCAGGGTCCTCATTTAAATCCGGCATCTCGTCATCTGAATCACGAAAATATATAATTTCTCCCCTCCCTGAATCCTTAATTGTCTGCACTTTCTCGGCAGAAGTATATTGCATTTCAGCATTGTCCTCATTGGGAGACTTTCGACGATCATAGATTTGAATGGTTTTACCAATTCCTTCAAGCAAACATGGAGGTGTGATTAAAAAACGACATACTCGAAAAGAAATAAAAATTAACTATTCTTAATCTGAATCAAAATTAATATTTACTTACAGAATAACTCTTAACGTTAAAATTCATAATGCATCCATACCTTGGTGCTCAAATGGAAGTACAACTTTTTCCCTGTCATTTCGCTCCTTTTCTGATAATTCTAGATTGAACTGGACCTGCCTACAAAGACCCAATTTGATATTTTATGGAATGAGTATTAGCATCTGATTTATTCCTGGCTTGGACAATAAAGTATGCATAAGTGGGTTGAGTAGAGGCAGCTAGCTCCCGAAGAGCAAATCTTTAAATGGCCAAACAATTTAACCTCAAATTTCTTTGCATCCATTTTGTCGTTCAACCCACCCCAAAAAAAAGGTACACATTCTCGAAGTTCTAATCAAAGATAGATGTGCAACATACCTTAGGCACAAGGCTTTCGGCAATCATTTCAGCTTCAGAAGAAATGGGAGTAAATGTGATGCTTAGGGATGTCAAAATGGCTCGCCAACTCGAGACGGGCCATTTTCAGCCCTGACGAGCCAAGCTGAGCTTGTAAAAAATAAAAATAAATAAAAATTGAAAAACAGCTGCCTCCAACGTTACAAGCAACTGAAAAAAATTAGAAAAAAATTAGAAAATAGCTGCCTACAACGCAAGCAGCTTTGACAACTGTCCGATTTCAAAAATAGATGTCTGTAGGCAGTTGTCCCTTGTCTTTGACAAGGTATCTAAACATAAATTTTAAATTCAAATTCAAATGAAGTTGAAACGGATATATTTTGAAAATTTACATTATGTGCTCTGCCTTTGACAAGGGACAACTGCAAAGCTTGCAACATTGCAAGCAGCTAATTTCTAATTTTATTTTTAATTTTTTTCAGCTATGTACAACATTGCAGGTAGCTGTTTTCCAATTTTTTTTTTTTTTTTTTAACAAGCTCGGTTCGTCCTGGCCGAAAATGGCCCGTGACATGGGCATGCCCTTGTGGCTCGACGAGCCATACGGGCTGGTTTGAGCCTTTGCCCCAAAATCGGGCTCGGCTCAGCTTGGCTCGGCTAGTGCTTTTCCCAGGCCGAGCCATGGGCAGTTTGAGCCAGCGAGCCATTTTGACATGTACTTGACCTGACCCATTGGCAGACCTACTTTCAACAGGTTGCTTAGACTTATCATGAAGGTAAAGTTGATAGGTTTAAACAAGTCCAACAGAACACTCGATCATTACATGCTATGAGAACAACCTCTATCGCCAATTCCCAAGTCAATGTGGCAATATCTCATCATAACAAGAAATTATTTCCATATAAAACAATGCATTCAGATTATGCTTATCTTCCAACTTCAGCAATTAACTGATAAACCACCCATACGTTTTAAGTATGGGTGGCATCACAAGAAAAGGCTAGCTAACTATGATGTGTTTGTTATAGCTAATAGAGACTATTGGATCTTATGAGGGAGTTAGTTATGCTAATGTCAGGGTTGCTAGGAGGGAATAAAAAGGGGGAAACATATTCAAATATTCATTCAAGGGGTGAAAAAATCTCTGAATCTTCAGGGAGAGGGGCAGCTCTCGAAACCTGCCATTTCTACTGTCATTTACATTCATTTCCTTCCGTAATTGCTTCAGTATATGAAATATAGATCCAATTCTCTTTAAACACTTGTTTTTCCTTTACCATCTATGCTTCTTTTTATAGATCAATTGCTGTGCTGAGGATAAAATCATTGTTTCCTTGAGCAGATTCTATCATTAACTTTATGGGTTATGAATTTAATAGACGAAGATGAAATTCATAAATAACTTGACATTAATAAAAGACTTCTTTATGAGTTAAAGAAACAATTACATACTATGGCTGCGAAGGTTGCTTAGAAGTCCAGCAACTGAAGAGATGGATGTGTACCTTAGCATCTCGCTTAACTGAAAAGAAATAAAATTTCACATAAAAGTTGCACACCACAAGAAAGCAATGGTGAGCTAACGCCTAACAGATTTTTATTCAAATTGATATTTAATTCCTAACAAATATTAATCTGATAGACTCTATAAATCTAATTTACTCCATTTCTTGCTAACAAGCTGCAGAAGTTCAGTTCCTTAATATTGGCTATAGAACTCCGCTGATTTGACCCAATATAGAACAGCAAAGTTTACGCAGTTTGCAAAAGGAATTTAAAGACCTCCAACTCTTTTATTTTTACCATTTCAGCCGAATAGCACTACTAATAATAAGCTTAAGAAAAGTTCTAATTAATGATGTTCCTTGCCTTGTTTCACAAACAAGAGAATAATCTGTTGAAGACAAACATGTGGTTTCTCTAAAACCTTAAGCTTTTTAGATCAAGTAATTCAACATGGTATCAGAGGAAGCAAAAGTCACATGGAATCAAGCAACCCATTCAATGAAATTGTGCTAGTCGCAGCTTTGATGCGGAAACAAGAATCGTGTCTACACATAAGGGAGCTTGTTGAAGACGAAATTTAAATAATATACATGTGGCTCTCCCTAAAAGCTTAAACATCTAATTCAAGTGGTTCAACATAATCTATGAAAACACAAATATTCCTTTCTTTTGTTCTTAAACTGCAGTAATTGAGAGGAGCAGGGTCAAATTCAAAAGAACCAACTTCAAATGTTGTACAAAGAATCTAGACAGTTTATATGGTCACTGGTCACAGGAAGAACAAAAAGCATACAGAAAAATGCAAAATATGCTGAAACTATAAGGATTTGGAAACTATGCAAGTTGATAAATTTATCCCAGAACGTTTTCTTGGCATCTTACTTTGAAAATGTAGTTTATAACATTAAGTGTGGATTAAGATTCACAATACTATAAGGATTTGGAAACTATGCAAGTTGATAAATTTATCCCAGAACGTTTTCTTGGCATCTTACTTTGAAAATGTAGTTTATAACATTAAAGGCCTTCCCTTTTTTATTAGCCGAAGAGAGCATCCCCCATTGTGTTTGACAGTTGACACTCTAGCCATGTGATTACGCCCTTGTTTGACATCCATTTTTTTCTCATTCTTCTCTCACTTCATTTCAACCACACATTCTATCAATAAAATAATATTACACATAAACCCAAAAACTCTCCTTACTTTTTAACTGCACATTCTTCCATCAATCACTATTTTAAATCAAATTCTTTCATAAAATGGGTGTCAAACAAAGAATATTTGAGGGAAAAAAAAAGGTTGGTGCCAGATTTTATATTCAATGTAGCCAAACAGTCGAGTTCCTCTTTTTGTTAGCAGCTATCGAATTCCTTTTATAAAGCTTCCTCTCATTCTTTGACAGGCATTGCAAAAATCTTCTCAGAAAGTGTAAAAAGCACACTTGTACCTAAATTTCATCTGTAATTTACAACCCATCCCCTGAAACATATTTGGGATTTAGAACGACACCAGCAATATTCATAATTTCATTTTATCATAATTCAAATAATATCGTGGAAAAAAAAGTTACCGAGTCTATGGCAACAGCAAAACGTCCCTTTCCATCTCCAACCGATTCTGCATCAACAAAGAAACCAAGTCATTTAAACTCAACACTGTCTTTAATTTCACTACAAACTCATCATTCACATTGTCTAACAGTATTAATTAAACAAATTTGAATGATAAGTAATTGTTAATAATAAGAACATGAACGGGAATGTGAAATTGTAATTAATATTAATTAAATGAATGTGAATGTTAATGTTAATTAATTAATTAATTAATTATAGTATTTATTATAGTTTGTAAATTAATTACATATCGAAAAACGAAAAGTAATGTATTATTGAAATAATTGAATTCTAGTAGGGCTATAATCGTCCAAAAATGATTCTCACTTCATGTGAAACTAGCCCTAGTTGAAGTTCCAGGAATGAAATTTGCAATTCTCCCACTCTCCATGAGCTTGCTTCTCCAACCCAGTGGGTCTATAGAACGATCCAAAACCCTGATCCTAATCAAATTTCCAAATCTCTCACAACTGTTAGTAAAAAGGATACTCTATATAATTTATCAAGCATGCATCTAAACTATTAAAATACTTGAGTACAAAGGACCCCGAGAGAGTGCAACCAGCACAATACCTCTGCAAAATTAGGGGAAGAAAACAAGACAAACCAGTTAAAAAAATAATAATTTGAACAGATTTTGCTTCTGGAATTTGAATTTTAGGGGTTTTTTTTAAGCAGAGTGGACTGATTGCGGCTGAGATTTTTGGGCAACAATAAAGGAAGAGAGCTGTGAGAGGACGTGATTGAAGACCAGGAATCCAAATGGACTTTGAATTGAGTCCTTTATAGTGAGACCAGGGGCGTACTCCCCTTCTAACGTGCCATCCCGTAGGGCTCCGCATATTCATTCCGCCATTTTTAGTCAACTAACTGGTAGAAAAATTCCAATATAAAAATGTTTGTCAAGGAGACCTACTAGGAGAGAGTGAAAAAATATTTCCTTTCTAATTTAACTTCTATAATTCGAGAATTTTACACATATTTAAAAATGTTGAGAAAATCGCTTACATTCATTTTTTGAGCAAAGTACGTATTCATTGTTCACTAAATAAGTGCAAATGTTATATTCTGTTTTAATAAAACGAGTATCATGCATACAGGGGCAGACTCTGTATGACAGAAATTTTAAAAAGTTAATGTACTAAAAAAATTCATATATGACAGAAAAAGTCGCAGCAAGTAATTCAACTCACTGCATATTAAAGTTACATCAAATCATCTTAGTGAGGGAAAGAATGAAGAAAAACATTTCAACTGATGTAAATGTTCTCTCAATTCCCCTAAATAGGAAAATGTCTTAGCCCATTCTTATAACTATAGTTGCATGATGATACCAAAAATTCCAATTTCTACTTTTTTAACCTTCAACGTTCGTTAAAGAGAAGTAACCTAACACTATTTTTTATTCTAAGCAAGTATATGAGTTTGGCTCTATAAACAACATCACCATGGATTCAATTATTTCTGCAAACGGCTATTTTTTGCCTGATACATGTTCCTCTTTCTCCAAAGTCATAATAATACTTGTTGAAAAAGATTTATAAAACAGCACATCTCAAAATACTGTTTAGTATGAAGCAGTTATTCAACCCGAGACACCGGAGTATCCCACATGTTAACATAATCTCACATAATCAACCTCAAACCAATAAGAGAATGTCACATCTAGATATATTATTAGTTCAAGCCTTGAACTACAATAAGAATTTTGCATTTTTCTAATAAGAGTTTCATTCAGAGTAATGGTTCCTCTACAATATGTATTGAAAGAAGGAGCAGAGGAATCAGTTTATCAGCATAATGAGCAAGATAAAATGGCGGCTGATTCATCAATTCCAGTCTCTCCAGCTGCCATGAATGATAGTGCATAAGAAGAGTCTAGAAGATGTTATGCTGGACAATTAGTTTTGCTGTGCACATGCATTCTGTAATAGGATAGAATATTCTCTCAGATTTCATTCATTATTTTGTAACTAATTCCCTTTTCTCTCCCCTCACGTTTTTGTGTATATATTGTAATAGAGTTAGTGTTTGATAATTAAGCCATTATTCTTCTTCACATCAGTTCTTATATATTACAAAATTTACATCGTATCAGAGAAATATGGCTGAATCAGATAATGAGTCTTCAAATACTCCGCAAAATACCAACCAAAATCAAAATCACAATTCAACAGTTCACGACCCAATGCACTCCAGCAGCCCTTTCTACATTAGCAATAATGATGGCACTGGTAATGTTCTGGTCACGCATACCTTGGATGCAAACAATTATCATCCTTGGGCCAGATCAATGAAGAGGGCTCTGAGGATAAAGAATAAGCTGGGGTTCATAGATGGTAGCATTTGTGAGCCACAAGATCCAAACGACCTAATGATGGAGCATTGGTTTAGGTGCAATGACATTGTCATCACTTGGCTCCAAAATTCTATGGCTGTTGATATAAAATGTAGTACAACTTACGCTGAAACTGCACATCAGCTCTGGCTTGAGCTGGAGCAACGATTTGCTCAACAAAATACTCCTCGAATTTTTGAGATCAAGCAAGTTATTACAACCTTGGCTCAAAATCATGATGCTGTGAGTGTGTATTTTTCCAAATTCAAAACTCTTCTTGACGAATGGCTGAACTATGAGTCCATTCCCAGCTGCACATGTGGAGGACTGAAGGTAGTAGTGGAGTATCAGAATCGAGACTTGGTGATGAAGTTCTTAATGGGATTGGATGAGTCCTACAAAGCTATTAAGGCTCAGGTTCTCTTAAACAAGCCCTTTCCTTCCTTGAATGAAGTTTATTCTATAATTCAACAAGAGGAAAAGAGGAGACAAATTTCAAATGATGGCTCTATCAATGAGACAATGTCACGGTTGGCTAGAGGCAATTTCAGAGACAACAGCAGGCAGAACACTTCATCACTGAGGAAAGATAGATACTATTGTACTTATTGCAAAATGGCAGGTCACTCACTTGAAAGATGTCTTAAGGATCCCAACAAACCTGTGTGCTCCTACTGCAAAATGCCAGGACACATTGCAAGCAAATGTTTCAAGTTGAATGGCTACCCATCAAGTCACAAATTGGATGGAAAGAATCGATACTCACCTGTGGCAAATCAAGCATCTATCCTATTACCTATGAATCACGAGCAGCAAGTCGACAAAACCAATGTATCACTCACTCAAGAGGAGTACTCTCGCCTAATGTTCATTCTCAAATCACCAACAAGTCCTAATTCAGGTTCTTCACCAAACCAGGTTCAATGTGCTGTCGCTTCGAGTCCTGATAATGATCTTCCAAAAGTTTCTGGTATATCACTCTGCTTATCCACTTTTAACACTCCAAACACCAATGACTATGCAGCTCCTTGGATCTCAGACACAGGGGCAACAGATCATATGATCTGTAGCCCGTCTTATTTTTCATCTGTCAAATCACAAATCACTTGTTCTGTAACCTTACCGAATGGAGCTGTTGCACCAGTTAGTTATATTGGTACTGCACATATCACAGACACACTAATCCTTCAAGACGTCTTATGTATTCCTTCATTTTCCTTTAACCTTATTTCTGTTAGAAAACTAACTCAAACATTGAATCATTGTGTTGTTTTTCTCCCTGATGTTTGTTTCATTCAGGACCTTTTGACTTGGATAACGACTGGAATGGGTGAAGTAAAAGCCGAGCTCTATCATATCCTATCTTCAAAAGTCTCCCCAACAACACTTCAAGAAAGACTGACCAGTCTAATTACCACATCTCCCATTTCACCTTCTCTTGCCAGCCAGGTTGAGGATTTTGATCTTTGGCATTACAGAATGGGACACCCAGCCCACTCTGTCCTTCCTTTTGAAGACAAAACATCTAAGTTAAACTCTCTTAAGAAACCTTGTTCAGTTTGCCCTTTGGCAAAATTACATAAACTTCCCTTCCCTGTCACTCAACACGAATCAGCAAAAGTTTTTGATTTAATACATTGCGATATCTGGGGACCTCGCAACGAAATGAGTTATGATATATCTCGTTATTTTCTAACTATAGTGGATATTTTAGTCCATGTACTTGGGTATATATGCTCAAATTAAAATCTGAATCAACAAATTCTTTACAAAGTTTCTGCAAATTGATAGAAACTCAATTTCAAACCAAAGTTAAAGTCATTCGTACTGACAATGGAGGTGAATTCAACATGAGGGAATTTTATTTTGAAAGAGGAATTATCCATCAGAAAACATGTGTTGAAACCCCTCAACAAAAAGCTTGAGAGGAAACATCAACATATTTTAAATGTAGCAAGGGCCTTAAGGTTTCAAAGTGGCATCTCATTAAAATACTAGAATGATTGTCTGTTAACTACGGTTAAACTCAATTCCAAACTAGAATCAAAGTCATTCGCAGTGACAATGGTGGAGAATTTAACATGAAACAATTTTATCTTGAGAAGGGCATTATCCATCAGAAAACTTGTGTTGAAACCCCTCAACAAAACGCCATTGTTGAGAGGAAACATCAACACATTTTAAACGTCGCAAGAGCCTTAAGATTCCAAAGTGGCATTTCATTAAGATATTGGAATGATTGTGTGTTGACTGCCGTTTATTTAATTAACAGAACACCCTCACTACTTCTAAATCACAAGAGTCCTTTTGAGCTTCTATTTCAAACCAAGCCTACGTACTCCCATCTAAAAGTTTTTGGATGCCTCGCTTTTGCCACAACTCTTACCAATGGCAGACATAAGTTCGACTCTAGAGCTAGGAGGTGTATATTTCTAGGATATCCTTTTGGCATTAAGGGATACAAACTACTTGATCTAGGAACCAATAAGGTTTTTATATCAAGGAATGTGGTGTTTCATGAAACCACTTTTCCTTACAAAGAGGCTAAAGTCACAAAAATAGATATCCCACCAAGTCCCAGTGATCTGTGTTTTCCTCATAACTCCATCATTTTTATTTCTTCTGATCTTCCTAGAGAACAAGAAATCCAACTTACTCATACTGATCCTATAGAAAACACAGAACAAATCCAAATTACCGATCCTCAAGTGTCAGACCAATCCTTACCTAATAGAGAAGAAAATCAAATCATACCTCACCTGCCTAGAAAGTCTGCCCGTATCAGAAGAGCTCCACCACACCTGCAGGATTTTATATGCCAACAGGTGGCTTTACTTCCCCTATTACAAGCATTGAACAAGAAAGAAAGTCACATTAATTTAGGTAATGCTTATCCTCTCAATTTCAGTGTTTCATATGATAAACTGTCAATTTCTCATAAAGCTTTTACATCCTCTATCACTATACAAAATGAACCTAGAACCTATCAAGAAGCTATGAAATTCCCTGAATGGCGTAAGGCAATGAATAATGAGATTATAGCTCTTGAGTTGAATGATACATGGGCTGTTGTGGACTTTACCACCTGATAAAAGGGCTATAGGAAGTAAATGGGTTTACAAAATCAAGTTTAATGCTGATGGAAGTGTAGAAAGATGCAAAGCTAGGCTGGTAGCGAAGGGTTATACTCAACTAGAAGGATTAGATTATCATGAAACCTTCTCCCCAGTTGCAAAACTCGTAATCGTTCGAACCTTGCTGGCTATTGCAGCCATAAAAGGATGGTTCTTGTACCAATTAGATGTGAACAATGCTTTCTTGCACGGAGATTTGGATGAGGAGGCATATATGGAGCTGCCACCAGGTTGCAACAATGTCACTGGTTCAAAAGTTTGTAAGCTTAACAAAAACATATATGGACTCAAACAAGCTTCACGCCAATGGTATTCGAAGCTATCAAATTTTATTCTTCAGCACAGTTTTACTCAGTCTAAGGCAGATTAC